TGTAAATATATAAATTTTTAAAGAATTTTTATAATAAATTTTTAAAACTTAATTTAAAATTAAATTATTTTAAAAATCTTTTAAAAACTTAAAATCTTTGTTAATAAAATTAATAAAATATTTATTTAACTATATTTTTATATAATAATGATATTACTAAAATTAATATTTAACATTTTATAAAAAAATTAACACTTTTTTTAATTTTTCAGGCAAATTTGCCTGTTATATAGTCTAAGAAATATAGAGTATACTTAGATGTTTCAGTTCTTAATATTCTATGTTAATCTCCAAAATAAGCAATATAATATACATTTTTTAATATAATATATAGAATTAAAATTGAATTAGTAAGACTATAATAGATAGTTTTATTCTTAGTATTTTAATAAGATAATTATATATTAAGTTTGATATCAGAATAATTGGATAGCAGAAATTAAGTTAAATTTGAATAAAAATCTTAAATTATATAATGTATTCTTAATATATTTTCTGGATTTGTAATTATAATTGAAGTTTAAAAAAAATTCCATAAAAATTATATATGCTATATAAGCTTGAAAATACATCTTATTATAAATATATATATTCAAAATTTTGATTTTAGAATAGAATTCTAAATAATATTAAAATAAGTAAAGTCTAACCAAAAAATAGTTATATACATTTTTTCAAGATTGAAATTATGATAATTTTAATTAGTTATTATTATAAAAGAACTTTTCTTATATTTCATTCTTTTAAAAAGCTAGAAATTATTCATTAATAACTATATTATTATGGTCAGTTCTTTGGGGTTGCTTAAAGGTTAAAAGTGCAGTAAGGTAAGCAAGGTAAGCAAAAGATAAAATATTTATAAGATTATAGATTAAATCAAAAGGGTTGATTATTTATTCAATATGTCTAACAAATAAATACTACCTTTGTCAGCGCTCTGTATTATACAAATGTTGTATATTAAACTAAACTAAAAATGATACTTTAAAACCTACAATAAAATTTTGTAGAAAAACCTATTATTCACTATTCTAAGACTTAAGGTATATTTATATAAGAAATATAAATACTATATGACATAGAAAATATATAGATGGTGGTCAGTAAAAAAGGGGGAGATCCAAAATTTTTATTAATTTTTATTATTTAGCTAAATTTGTGAATATAACTGAAATCAGCCAAGTGGTCTAATAATATAAATTTTGACCAAAATTTAGATTTTCTTTTTTTTTACTGATCATCTTCTATATGTGACATTTTAGTTATCACAGTCATATACGTCATCCAAGTCATCCATGCCTTCTTTGTGTAATAATATCCTACATTTTATCAAACTTTCAAATTTAGTTGTATATACAAAAAATTGTTAATAGTTAAGTTTCATAAAATATAATAATAATAAACTTTTAGCTAAAATTATTAAAAATTATATAAAAAAATAATTATTTTAGCTATTTCACATATTTTCTTCTTTGTTCTATTTTAGTATTAATCAGATTTTTCTCAGAACTCTTATTTTTGCTAAATTTATTTATACAAAATTTATATAAAATATATTATTTTTATATTTAGATTTCTTATAAAGAATCTATATATTAAAAAATATATAATATAATTAGAATTTATTTTTAGTTGTAAATAAAATATTAAAGAATTTTATTTGATAAGTATATTATATAAATTTAGTAATATTGAATTTATTATTAATTAAAATTTTTTTAAAAAATAATATCTTTATATATTAAATCAGATAAAATCATTTGTAATTTTTTATTAGAAAAATTTGATAAAAATAAATAATTAATTACTAAAAATTATTTAAATTTATGGAAAGAAATCTAAAAAGATTAAAATTTTACTTTATATGCTAAATATGATTTTTTAGTAAAAATAAGTTTATATATTAAATAAACTATTTATAACAAATAAAGTATTTTAAAATTATGAATATTTGTTATCATTTGTAATTAAAATATTACTTTTTAGCATGTTATGAAACTAAAAAGTTAAAAAAAAAAAATAGAATAACTATTTGTTAATATGTATATAATATCTAAATTTAAAATATTATTTATTGAAACAAAACCATTTAGATATAATATCAAATTGGTTTGAATTGAATATCTAAAGAAATTAAATGTATTCATTATAAAAATTTTATTGTTATTAATTAAAATATATTAATAATGTAACAATATGAATTTCTTTTTTATATTGAATTTAAATTTACCATCTTCTATTTATAATCTTTAGTTTTATTATAATAGTAAATTAAATACAAAATCGATTAGGCTGCATATAATGCCAATTCAGAAGAGACAAACTGCATAATTAGTTGAAAATCCGAAAATTGTGATAATCGATACTATTTATCAATATCTGTCGAATTTAAGAAATATAATTTAAAGCTACCAAATTGGTAACTTTGTGTAATTTTTGACTATAAAAAAGGGACCTCCTTGCTCGTATTTTCCCGATTAAGAAAAATGGTTTGATGTTTAACAAAAATATATCTTTGTGTAGAATTTTCTTTGTAAATTTTTTTTTTTTTCATTTATTGAATGAAAATCATGTTAAGCAGGACTTACTGTATTAGGTTAAAATTATTTTCGATTTTAACAAATGTCAAAAAAAAAATTTTATTGAACTATTATTTATAATGGACATTTACTTTGACATAAAAAACATAAAAGATTTCTTTCCTGGAGCTTTCGCAATTTTAAAACGCAGTAGATTATAGGATTGTGCTTGTATCACTTAATCATGTTTGTCTTTGTCATTAATTATAAATTAATCTTTGTTTAAAAAATGACTTTAATATAATCACACACATTACATACAGTCTGATAATTATGGTCACTGTATCAGACTTGGGAAAATTAAAAAAAAGTCCAAAAATTTTTTAAAATGATCAATTGTAACAAATATGTAATCATTTAAACTTTTAAAGAAATATGCGCATATATAGTAGTGTCTATTGTTTATTTTATTACAGTATAAAAATATTCGTCAATATAATAAATAGTAGTAGTATGATTTTTAGGTAATAATCAAACGGCCCATAAATTTTCTTAATTGTCTTTTAATAAAACAAGATGATTACCGGTTTAGAAAGTGTGGGGAAAAACTCAAAGCAGGTGGTCGAGTTAATTGTATCAAAATTGTTTCATCGACATGCGAAAAGAACTTATAATAGGACTCCAAATAGAAAGTCCTTTAAAAAAAGAAGATTTGCTTTTATTGTAGAAAGATAACGTAAAATGCAAAAAAAAATCTTTTGTATTCGTTAATCATTACTAGAATTTATATCATAAATTTATATAATCAACAAACCTAAATTTAATGTAGGCAATCTGAAAATTTTTGGGCAGTGATTTGCAATTAAGGCGGGTATCAAAATGGTTAAACCTTATCGACTTATTGAGGATAACAAAGTTCCAGTATTGAGTACAATATAAATTAAAAAAATTTTTTTTTTTGGTATATAAGTAGTTGAGGAAGTCGGCAAATTTTTTGGCGGTATAATAATAATTTTATTTTATTTTATTTTTTTTTACATATAAAAAAATTAAAAACAAAAATTAAAAAGAAAATAATTACTTTTACTCCCTCAGAATTTACTTCACAAAAGTAATAATATGTCTTATAAAACTTTAAAAAATAATTTGTACAATAAACCACTTTCTAATATAAACAATAATTTATCTCAAACTAGTATATATAATCCCAGTACTAATACTTCAAGTAAATCTTTGCCATCAGAATGTCTACAACATATCTTCTTACATTTATCGTATTCAAAATCGACACTTCATTCATGTTTATTAGTTAACAGATTATGGTGCGTTAACGTTGTAAAAGTGCTGTGGTCGCAACCATTTCATTTATTAAACACTTGCACTTCTTCATCCGGCCAATGTGGTAGAACCCCAAAGGATACTTACCTTAAATGCGCTGCTTTAATAAATATTTATTTATCATTCCTTGATCGAGAAGAAACAAATAATCTATTGAACAATAGAATCATATTAAATAATAATGGTAATTCAAGTAAAGCCAAAGATAAGGATAACTTAAATTCGTATAATGAAGAACTAACGTTTAACTATATTGAATTTTTGAGATATCTGGACTTGGAAGAATTATTTATCACAGTAGGAGCATGGAAGCAATATACCATCTTTAATAGCAATACTAATTCATCCTCAAATTATTCAAATGGTAAATTGATTCAAAAAAGTTCATTCAAGAAAACGTTAAAAAAAGCGGTAAACACCCTTACAAAAAAATCCTCTTCAATGTTGAAAAGGAAATCATCATTTGGTAACTTTTCATCTTTATCGTCATCATCTTATACTGGTAATAATGGTAGATTTAGTGTTGATGGATTTCCCGTTGCCGTTGATAGGGTGGTATCATATTCTTTGGCTAAATTAATCATGAATAAATGTAACAAATTAAAAGTACTTTCGATCGATACTAGAATTGATGATCATCATTGTCATTGTTTGGTTCCAATTAATGAAACCGCTACAACGACTATTACCACCACAACGAATCATCCAAGTATCTTGAGACAAAATGTACCTGAGGAACATTTATTAATCGCCACGTATCCTGGTTCCAATAAATGTCTACCCCCATTAACGGAATTCATATGTACGACGAGAGGAACGAAATGGAGGTTGTTTCATGCTTTGGCTGGAATTTGTAAACAATTAAAACGAATTGTTATAGATATGGGTGGTTATACTAACTGGTTAAATAATAATGATAATTCATCATCATCGATTAATCAACAACAACCGAATTCCCTACCGGCTTCACTATTGTCTCTTACTCCTTATACCGAACCACAAATGCAAGAATTAGAATGGGAAGCAAAAAATTTAGCAACGCTTCTTCAATCACAAGTCTCTTTAGAGTCATTTACTTTATTACGTGGTGAGATTGGCTTGCTCACAATATTAGGGGCTTTGAAATCTCAAGTGAATTCTTTAAAACATTTGGAATTTGTTCAATTAAATACGAAATACGCTCAATGGGGAGCTTTTTATAATATCTTGGATTATGTTGAATTAAAAGAGTTGGTATTTAAGGAATGTGAATTAAGTGATGAACTAATGAGACCATTAACGATAACCACTTCTAAAAAGGATGCTTTTAAAAGGATTGAAGTATTAAATTTTGAAAAATCTATCGCTTCAAAGGACATTATTGGTAAATTTATTAAAGTGATTGGGTCTAATTTAAAAAGGTTACTCCTTGGTGATCACTATGTGTGCGTATCTCCTGAAGTTATTTCATTGATTGAAATCACTGGACAGTATTGTCCGAATTTAACTCATTTTACCACTTTTGTTGATATTAATGATATTCCACGGTTACTCACTTTATTCACTTTGTGTCCTTTGTTGCAATCAGTTGAATTATCAAGAAAAATCATCCCTCAAGGTCAAGATGAATCATTAGAGGACGCTTTTAGTAATATAGCCGATGTTACTTATTTATTCGAACAAATGGCTTCTCAAAATTTATTATATAATTTAAAACGATTAGTCTTGCGTGCTCCTTGGTCTTTTACTCCCGTTTCTTTAGAAAGTTATTTATGTGGTGTTAAACCTCCTTTAAAATGCTTAGAGATTAGTCAATCTTATTCTTTTGATAACGAACATTTAAAAGTTTTGATTAAATATGCTAAAGAAAAGCAACAATTGAAAAAAGTTTTGATTGAAACTCTTCATGAATTAGATGATAATTGGAATGAATCTTTGGCCATTTTCGAAGTTTTTGAATATCATAGAATACGTCAATATCACCTACCCGGTTATTTTGGTAGGTAGGTTAGTAAATTAATTAGCAATTTTATTATAGAAAATCGTAATGTACTGTATAGTGTAACACATTTGTAATTATAATAAATATTTTTTTTTAATGTCCCCCTTTTTTTAAAAAAAAAATTCATTGTATTACGAGGGATTTCCGAAATTTATAGAACGTATGAACAAGAATTTAGTAGAAATAAACTTGAATGATGTATGTACAAACGCGCGCGCAATGAATTATTATATGGTAAATAGCTTATGTAGCCACCACATAAAAAACCATTTATTTTTCTTGAAATTTACAATGCAATGTGACAGTTTTACATTTTTAAAAATTCTTCTAGCTCGTTTCTTTACTTGGTGTAATGAATATAAATGCTTTTACATACATCGCATCAATGCATTAATTGACTAAACTACGTTTAGAGGAAATATGCACTCCGTATATCAATAATATGTAAGAAATAATAAGTACAGCGATTGAAAAAAAATATTAAAGTTTAACCAATATGAACATTGATAAAATTTTTTATGTGGTAAAATAGAATTTACAATGCATACGTTCGTTTATTTTATTTTTTTTTATGAATAAAATAAAAATTTTTTTAAATGTATTATTATTGTTTGTTTATTAAAATTATATTGTAAGAATGGAAAATCGTCCCTCTTTCTTTATAAGTGAATTATGACGACATGAGGCCGTGATACTATTTCTATCAAATAAATATAACTTGTTTATGAGATAACACACTTTAATAAATATTACAACTAGGATTCTCTTAAATTTTTAGCATATTAATTTGCCTGTAAGCTTAAACAAAAGTATTAATTTCTTAACATAATTATTATATAACAAATATAGTTAATATATATTTTTATTAACTATAGTAGATTATATGGGATAAGTGCTGCAAAAAAGGAACCAAATTGACATTTTTTTTCAAAAATTTATTCCTATATAAATTTTATCATTTGATCCAGAACTTTAATTATTTTAAAAAAAGTTTTTTTACAATTTGGTCACTTTTCGCAGCACTCACTCCATATGGGCGCTTTGCAGTAGAAAAGTACAAAACTCTAAGAAATTAAAATGTTACTTTAAAAGCTAAATATGATTTTTTAGTAAATTTTAACATTAATTTAAAAAAAATTTTTTAGAGTTTTATACTTTTTTTTCTATTGCAAAGTTCTCATATTTATATTACAAATATTTAGAATTAAATTGAACTGGAATTGAATTATATATTTTTTATATTACATCATGAATTAAATAATAAAAAAAAATTAAATACTATTTAAATTAAACCAATAAATTAAGCAATAAATACACAAAAAATATTAACTATAAATTTAATTTTTTTAGACTAAACTGATTCATTATTGAAGAAGAAATATCTGATAATAATATTGATTTATCAATTTTATAAAATATAGATTAACAAACCTATATAGATTTAACCAGTCATCTAAATAATAAAGATAAACCGTAGTGAAATAAATATATTAAAGCCTTATTAAAAAAAAAACTGTAAAATTTAAAAAGGTAAAATTATATTAAATCTTATAACATGGTAAAACTATATTAAAAAATAGCAAAACTAAAGGTTTAGATATTAATTAAATCCAAAATAAGTTTAAACAATCTTAATATAAGTGTTATAATAAATAGCTTAAGATAAGCAAAAAAAAATATATAGGACTTTTAGTAAAATAAGTCTAGATTTAATTTTAACTCATAAAAATTTTTTTTTAGATTTCCTCCTTTCTGTTAACAAGCTTCCATTTAATTAATACTTTGTTAAAATCAATAAATTTCAAAGTATATAATATTTAGCAATAACACGTGTTTTTGCATTTTATTACTTTGTGAATTAAAAATTTAGGAATCTGATCTTAAATTATTAAAATACTAGTGGTAATTAAAGGCTATAAAATATTTAAAATTATAGCTTTTAAATATATATCAAAGCCAATTTAATAGCCAATTTAATAGTTAATTTAATCATTTTATATGATTTGCTAATGCATTATAGAATCAACAATTTTATATTTTAAAACGTAATAATAAATATGATAATGATCAATAAAATTACATAAGAAATTACAAATAAAATCACAGAATAATAGAAGAAATAATAGTTTATTAAAAAAAGAAGAATACATAAATAAATTACAGACTGAAAAGAAAAATTTATAAAATAGATAAATCTTAAAGAGATATTTCATATAAATTAGTTATTAAAGAAAAAAATAAATAAAGAATTGAATAGAAGATCAAAGAGATGATAATTAATAAACTGAATGAAGAGTTTTATAGAAAGATAGAAAATACTTAAAATAATAATTAAAAGAAGTAATACAAATATGCAAAAAGGTTATACAAAGAGTACAATCAATAGGAATTATGAACTGGATCATATATAATATAAAGGTTACATATAATATCATAAGAAGAACAGAAATTAGTAATAGAATAGAAGTTAGTAAGAATATAAAATTCAGAAGTAAAACAGTAATTAGTATTAGTAAAACACTAAACAAGTAATAGTAAAACAGTATGAATTAGTAAACAAAATGAATTCAGAAATATGAAGTAAAATAGCAGAACTAAAGTGAATAGTACGTAGTAGTAATTAGTTATTTATCATGTGATTTACTATGTAAATTTATTATACTATATATATCCTTTAAATTCTTTCAAGGAATCAGATTCAATTTTCAAAAAATAAAAAAAAATAATTTTAATAAATAAATTTTTAATACAAATAAAAAAAAATACTTTTATTTGAAATGATTAATTGTTGAATAATTAAATCATGGAAATAAATAAAGTTATTTTGCTTATATATAAACTATAAATTGAATAATATTAGAAAAATAAAAGTAAAGAATTAAACCAAGAAACTTAAAAGAATTATAAGATGCATTTAAGATAAATAATCCTCAACATATGGGAGACGGTCAGTAGAAAAGGGGAAAATCCAAAATTTTTGTTAATTTTTATTATTAAGCTAATTTTGTACACATGACCAAGATCAGCCAAGTGGTCCAATAATATAAATTTTGACTAAAATTTGGATTTCCCTCTTTTTTACTATATATCAAGCAGAATTTTAATAAATTGAAGGAAATCAGAATAATAATCAGAATAATAATCATAATAATAATCAAAATATTGATCAAAAGAATATCCAAAGTATAATAGATTATAATAACAGAAGATAAATTCACTTAATATTAGAATAATATAATAATATAAAGAGAAATAATATAATTAAAGAATACTAAAGAAGAATAATTTAAGAATAATTGAAAGTAGAAATAAAATAACAATATTGTAAGAAAGAAATGATTATGGTAACTACAGCATCATAATTTGTTATGTATAATTCTATCAAAAGGCTAATTTAATTTTATTTTGATTTATATACATAGGTCGAATACTGATAAATCGGATACCTTTCCAATTGATCACTATTTTTTGATTAGCAATCAATAGATAGAAATCAGTAAATACTACAATCAGGTATAAATCGGTTAATACAGTCAACCCTTGATATAACGAATTTTATGTCCTGAACTTCAACTTCGCTATAGAGCTATAGTGAATTTTT